TTGTCCTATGCCTTTGCCCACAATTTCAGTAATACAAGATGTTCTTCCCTTTGATGAGTGGCATCGACCAATTTAAGGGAGGGCAGCAACATGCTTGCAAGTCTCGGCCATGCCATCCAGAGCCTAGCAACTTTGCTTAAGGGTGCTCCTCCATGCAAACACTCCAAGCTGCACTTTTTAAATAGTCAAACAAAACTAGTTCTAGGGTCAACATGAGTCAACTAGGGCTTAGAAACTTATACAATTTCCATTTCATGAATTCTCCAAAACAACTTTTGTTGCTGCTCCAGTGGATCGCCCAAAGTGTCACCACATTCATTCGGATTAGTAATTTAAACATGCATTTGTATCACAAAACAATCAAAACGGGGATACGGACATGTACAACCCCTCTAGGGTACTACGGCAAGACCTTCTTCAAGTGTCCAAACAACATCAAAGTAAGTCAATTTATTTTGTTTAATTTTGGATGGTGTTCATGAGGCTATGGTTTCATGTGATGCAGGATGACTCAACTACATGTCCTATCATCATGTCCGAGGCGCAGTATGAAGCTTACCTACGCAACCCAGGAGCAAGACCCAATTCCCCCGGTTAAGAAGAAGGTGATCCCATTCAATTCAAGAGATGGTGGACATGGGTCTATGGACCTCGGTTTGGACCTGAAGCAAGATTTGGAGGTAGTGAAGGCAAAACTTGACAAAGGTCTTTGTGATGGATCTATGGGGCCAAGGTGCAAGTACAGTTGTGAAGAAAGACTACGTTATTATTGCAAAGTGTCGGTGTGTGTGTAGCTGTTCATGAGCTATTGGTTGTCTTATGAGCAAAATAATGGAAGTAGCCAGTGTGGTGTCGAATGTAGGATTTGAAAGCGATGCATGTGTTGCTTTTGTTGGTCACCGATGTATGCCAAGAGCTGACATCAAACTAAAACCCAAACTAAAATGTATTCTGTAATAATAGCTGCTTCAGCTTTGTGTGCTTTCAGTTTGAAAATGTCTCAAATGTATTCTGATAGATAGCTTTTTAGTTTGAAAATGTAGGTATGTATGGAAATTCAGATTGAGAGTCCTTCATGATTTGACACATGTATTTCAAAGAAGATAGAAGCATTCTTTGGGATAATTAATAGGACAATAGCATTATTAAAATATATCAATAACTCACAGTAGCATCACTGAGACCATAGCACTTCTGAGAATAGCATTAATTCACAGCTTGTTCAAGTTTTGAAGCACTACATCCAGAAAATGCCCAGCTTACAAGCATTTCAGCATTCCAGTTCACAGTTTAGATGACATCACATGCATCCACAAAATAGGCCATCATAGGCATCTAGTTCGCAGTTCAGTGCCATCACAGGCATCTAAATCACACACAGTTCAGTGCAACAACAGGCATCTACCTTCACAGTTCAATGCCATTATATTACAAAAGGCAAAAGAAAGGTCACAAAATAGCTTGAAATGCACCATCAGATTCACTGTCCATCAGAAAACAGGTCCTTCAGGTTCCTGACAACCTTTGCTGGAGGAGCAGCTGCATCCTTCTTTTGCTTCTTCTTCAAGGTTTTTTTTGTTCTTAGGAGTTTTCTTCTTCGCTGTCTTCTTTTTCTTCCCCTTGGATGGTCCAGCATCATCACCTGCGTACTCTGTTCACTTCCTGTACATGCAATTTTTCAGTAAATAATAGTGAATAATTGAAAGTACAGATAACAGAAAATAATTGAAACTAAAGTTAACCTTTTCCCCTTCTTTGTAGCAGTTTCACCATCTTCTCCAACCATGTCAAGCTTGCATGTCTTCGCGAAGTGTCCAAAACCTCCACACCGTTTGCATCGCACTTTCTTTTTGTTTGCATTTTTCTCTAGACAACCCATTTGCCTTTGCACCTTTGGCTGACCTGGTGCTCTTCCCAGCAAAGGTGGGTAAACCTTGAACCCAAGATTAACTTCTAGCCACTGGGACCTATCCGTCATTGGTTCAACTCTTCCTTCATAGGCTGCTCTGAACCTAGCAACCGAGTAATACTCATGCACAAAGTCAGCTATCTGCATACCTCTGTTGGACAGTATCCATGCCAAGGCATGTTTGCATAGCTTGCCAGTTATCTGTTATTCCCTGCATGAGCAATTTTGATTTTTCAGATCCACCGTATGCCTCCTCTGGTTATTCCATTCATCAAGCAGTGTGACCTCTGCAAAATCCTCATCACTAACTTTCACCTTGACAACCTTTAGATTGTTGCTAATAAGATTCAAATCCTTCATAACACTTGGTAGGATCCCTTCTTGCCATTGCTGTCCAAGCTTCTTTCTAATGTACCTTTTCTCCATTATCAGCTCTCTTATCCTGTCAACTAACTCATGGAGATGAAGGCCTTTCAAGTGCTTGATCTGAGCATTGAAACTCTCAGACACATTATTAGTTAAATAGTCACATTTGTTGTCCTCAGCAAAGCCACATCTGTACCATATCCTACCATGATGCTCTTGAAGGTAGTCAATTGCCTCTGGAGCATACACAAAAATTTTCTTCATGTTCCACCTAAACATATAATCTGTATAGCTCCTAGCTGCAGGGTACAGATGATCAGTGAAAACATCCCCTGAGTAGTGTTTCATAAAGTTGTTGTACATGTGTCTCATGCACTCCCTGTTTTCAGCTTGTGGGAAAACAGTCCCTACAGCTTTCTCTAATCCTTTACAGGCATCTGAACATAATACTAGTCCTGGTGGATCTCCTATAACTTTGTGCAAATTCTCTAGGAACCACGTCCAGTTGTCCTTAGTCTCTGAGTCAAAAATGCCATATGCTATATGGTACAACCAGTTATGCCCATCAACACCTGTTGCTGAAGCCAACTGTCCAGTATACTTTCCATGTAGAAAAGATGCATCTACTCCTATGAAGGGTCTACAACCAGCTAGGAATCCATCAATGCATGGCTTCAAAGCAACAAAAACCCTCTTAAACCTATTCTTGTCACCAATCTTCTCTAACTCTATCTATACATGACTTCTAGGTGAAGTTTGTTCAAGTTGAGCAGACCAATTGAAAAGAAGTTGGAAGCTTTCCTCATACTTACCATGAATTTGATCCAAGGCAACCTTCAATCCAGACCACGCTTTTGAGTACTTCAGCTTTATTCCAAAGTCACCCTCCAATTTGTCTCTTGCATCCTTTGCTCCCTTAGTTGGATTCTTCTTAACCCAATCTCCAAGCATATCAGCACACCAGCCCTGAGAAGCTATTTTTCTTCTTTAAGCTTGGTGGTAGGACAATTATGCTCTGCAGGAAGGACTTTGATCTACAGAAAGGTAGATAAACATATAAATGCATTTGCAAATATGTACATGATTAAAAAAGAATAGAACAACTAAAAAGATCTAGAAAAATGTACCTTTATAGTTTTTTTATCAAATATAGTGGAAGCATGTATTCTCCAAGGGCATCCCTCAGCAGCACACCTTGCTATAAATCTTGACTTGTCTGATTTGTAACCAACAGCAAAGACAAACCCAGTCTTCACAGCATAGTGTCTTATTGCTTTCCTGAATGCAATGATATCAGTAAACAACTACCCCTCCACTATTTTTGGGTTCTCAGGATCTTGTAGTACATGAACCTCCAGAGGGTCAGCATCATCCACCTCTGCCTCAACATGGACAAACTCATCAGATGGCTCAACATTGTGAGTTGTATCAGTAGTAGCATAAGTGTTAGCACTGTCAGATGACTTTGCAAACTGAGGAGCAGGTGGCACTGTATAATACATGCCCTCATCATCAACACCAACATATTCTTCAGCATTATCAAACATATCAGACTCCCTATCTGGCTCTATGTCAGCAGCTGCCTCTGGATTCTCAGGAGCAGCACTATTGGGTTCTTTAGGCATGTTAGCAGCTGCCTCTACTTGTCTATCAGGATCTCTATGTGCCTCTAATTGAACATTTGCATCATCAGCAGGAACCACACAGAGAGGCTCCAGTGCGTCAAATTCATCTTCCACACAAATTGCTCTATCGAAAACACCTACTACAACCTGGCAACTCATCTCCTCCTTGTACATTTCAAACAAATCAAGCATCTGTATCTCATTAACTAATCTGGCATCCTCATTCAATCTTTTGTCAAAGAACCAAACTGTTGGTGTCTGGTTACTACTCAGATTCAATTCAGTTGCCAGAAATTTCAGCAACAAGTCAAGTGTCATGGACCCATACTCCACATTCCACTTAAATGTATGGCCTTTTGTGTATGATTTCCTACCAGCCGTGTCTTTGGACGCAAATCCTTCCACTTTAAACTCTACCGAAAACATGCCATCCCTACGATGCAGTAAATCGAACCCCAAATCAAAGTGTATACATGCACGATACATCGATGCCACCACACAAATCAAGCCTAATCCCATACTGTGATGACCACAACAAGGCAAAGCAGGAGGAAAGGGTACCTGGTGGCGGTGTTCTCCATCGCAGCCGCACCAGCGTGCGGCGTGCCCAAATCCGCTGACGCCATCAGGCCGCCTCCATCGCCCCCACCGGACGCACGCTGGTTAGGATTTGTCGTCGTCGCCTCCAGTCGCAAGCTGACGCCTCAGTCGTCGTCGACGCCTCCAAATTGTCACCGCCAGAACGTGGTTAGGGTTCGTTGGACAGAAGAACTGGAGTAGAGAGAAGAAATGAACGCCAGCTTCAATCCTCAGTGCCTTATCCACTTAACCAGAGGCAATACGAGGCAGTACAGAAATACGACGCCTGCAAGTGGGCCCAGGTACGTTCCAGCGTAGAAAAGGACAAGGGTGAGCGACAAGCAGAATTGTGATGGCAAATTTACAATAACGTGAATTGTAATGGCGTTTTTGAAAGGTTGGAAAATTGTAATGGCGAGAAAAAAAACCCGATAACAAACGCTCGGCTTGTCGCCTTCAGTGCCGTGCCGCCACTAATCAGTCAATCACCTCTTACCCCGCCGGCACCGGCCCCCAAAACGATGGCCGCCGCGGCGGCGGCAGCGGCGGGCGCGGCTTCTTCCATCCTCTCCTCCGCGCCCCCGCGCCGCCTCCCCTTCCCTCCAGCCCACATCCGCAAACCCCTCGCCGCGGCCGCGGCCAAGGCCCTCACTCTGCCACCGCAGAAACTCCTCCGTCTCCCGTGCCCGCCCGCTCCATCCGCCCCCGCCTCGCCGCCTCCACCCGAGGGGGCCGAGAAGCCGGACCCCGTCAAGCTCGCTTTCGCCCGCGCCGCCGCGTACAAGAAGGAGAGGGACAGCCCGAGCCCGGCCCCGGCGCCGGTCCCGCCTCCCACGCCGCCGCCACAATCTCCACCACCGTCGCTGCCACAGGCTTCGGTAGTTGAGCCCGGCAGTAAGGAGGCCTTCAAGCGGGCGTTGGAGTACAGAAACGGCAACGGGGCCGGAGCGGGCGCGGCTGGTGGTGGTGACTCCCCGCTGCTGGGAGGCTCGCCGGATTTTGGTGAGTTGATTAAATCCCACGAATTGAACTGAAGAATGGCTAGGATAGATGGTATCTGGTATGCACGGGAATGCTCTCATGTCCCTGTTTCAGTTATGTTATTAATGCTCATGACTACTACAATAGCATTTCCAATAAAAATTGAATTGGATTTGGACCCAGTGTGGTCAATTGGAAATGATTTTAGTAGTGGTATTTTGATCCTATTCATTAATGCCATATATTTTTATTTGTACTGTTCATGATTTCTTAGGTCAGAATGCCTTACTTAGTGAAGAAGTCTCGTTTGGCAAGAAAGGAGGGTACGAGTTTGATGAGAAGGATTTCTTGGGTCTCGACTTTTTTGAGAAAAAACGTTCTAAAGGTCTACCACCTGGGCTGGCTCCAGCCTTTGAGCCTTTACGAGATGACGATTTTCCTGAGGTGGAGATAATAGTTGGAGACCCTAGCAAATTCGAGAAGTCTCCTCGCCCAACAGAAATCCAACCGGTAGACGACACAGAGGCAGAGGAAACATCTCAATCATCAACTACTAAACCAAATGAATCTGACAAGGTAGCACCCCCTTCAACTGTTCTTGAGCCAGAAGAAGATGAAGATGTTTATAGACCCACGGTTAGATCATGGGGGATGTTTCCAAGGCCCCAAAATATTTCAAAGGCGGTAAGATATACTTGTAACATCTCAATGCTGTATTTGTATCTTTCTTTTACTTTCATTTCAAATACCAAAAAAAAAATCTAGCATGCGCGAGCTGAACTGTAATGTTGAATTATGATCGAAGAATAACAACAACATAACAATAACAAACACAAATTGATTTCAATTTCAGAATGAAGTTGTACAAGGTATATTCATTTCAATTATTTCCGAAGCTAATTGCAACTTTAGTGGAGAAATTTTGATCATCTAGTAATGCTACATGGTTCATCAGCCATTGTCCAAGAATCATTTTCAGGATCAGAAATACTAGGTAGACTGGATTGACATGGATAGTCAGTCTTTCAAAGATTGCTAAGCAACATTTTACAGAACCACTTTTAAATTGTTCTTAGTATAGCAAATGGTTTAGTCAGTTTGTTGGCTGTTTCGTGTTTTGAGTTTAGACCAAGTTAACCTTTTGTAGCTTGGGTTTGTAGTGGCATGGAGTTTGTTAGGTGGTTTTTAGTCGTTTGAAGTTGTATCGTGGTTTTTTTTGGCCCAGTTTCCACTCAAAAAACTGGGTCGGCACTTGCCTTTCTGTTTTTTTCTTCTAATAAAATCTGCGGCAAAGCTTTTGTTGTCCTTTCTAAAAAAAACGAACCATTTTTAAAATTGTCTCTTTTGCTATATAACATTTTATCTTGTTTTGTTGATACGCTAAGAGATGACATCTGACATAAACTTAAAAATCATTCCATGATATCTTGCCTTTTTCCCCTTTCTTTGGTTTCAGGTTAGCTGATATTGATATACGGCACGTTTGTAAACTGTTGCCATTCTATGATATATGTCATTGATTCTTGATGAAGTTTGATTACAGTGTGATATGCTTTGTGGTATTGCTGTGTTTCCCTGGTTCTGATTTGCCATTACCTTTCCTTCTAGTATGGCGGTGGAAGAAATATACGCCTTGGTGGAGAGACTCTAAGTGCAGAAGAAAAGGCAGCCAAGGATAAGCGCACCAAAGAGCTAATAGCTGCATATAGGAATCGACAAAACATAGTAATCGATGCAAAGACAAAAGCAGAGTGCATCGAGGTACTGATTGAAACATTACCACTTAAGTTGAAACTCCAGTGATTTAGCTCGACCTTTTTTATCCCTTTAATGATTGCACTTTTATGGGACTTCTATGTCATGTGTGGGAGTAATCTTGAAATTTTATTTTATTCAATGTTTATACTGTGTCAGTTATTTTGCGTGATAGCTTTATTTATTGTTCAGGACAATTTGTTCCTATTTCATTTTGTTTTGAATATTTGACCTTGTTATCAACAAGACTCAACTTTTATTACGTCTATTGAACTGTGAGGGTACTGGTAGATTGCTTGAACCTTTTATTGTTTTGTTACTTGACAACATGTGAACATCAATCATAGGAATGCATGCTATACATTGTTGGGAAGAATCAGAAATTCAGAATCAACAGAGAGTGAATGTAAGCATAAGCTGAAAAGTAAACATAAATGGTTCAAGTGCAGATCATCATAGATGAGAGTGCCATATTCTGAGCATACTAGAAAAACTGTATGTTTTTGTGATTATGTATGTGATAATTCCAGTATGATTTTACATCTGCACACTTATGAACTTTTAGATGTTTCATGTGCTTATATGCATTGTTCGCTCATGAACTTGGACACAATGAGAAGCAATTTGTTGTTAGCGTTGGAATGTTTTGCAGTGGGACTCTTGCCTGAAATCAGAGAGGGGACACAATAAGAGGGCTAGTAGGTTATACTTGACATATAAGTAGTAAAATTAACTGACGTTTAGTAAAAAAGAAAGAGAATAAGAGCCTGTCGCCCACCTTGATCTAGAGAACGTCCACAATTGTTTGTAAGGATCATGTTTTTTCTTTACCACATTTAGGCTCCATTTGCAACTCATCAATAATTTCTGATTACCATGGAAATTGGACTGTTTTGGTGAAATTCCAGCATTTCAAACAGGCTGCGAGTTTTGAATTTGGTTGCCAGCATATATAAAGTTACTTGTGTAGTATATAAAATGTGTATTAAATGCCAGTGTCAGCTTAATTTACACTTATGTTCCCCTTCTGTTTGTTGAACCTTGTCCCCTTTTTCTGTGCCTAGTATTTTTGTAACATCTTGGACTTTTGCAGTTTTCATCTTTGCTTTAATGCACATGTCTTTGGTATGTATTTGTAAAATTGTCATATGGAAGGCCTTGAGGGAAGGTGATGAGATGATGAATACTGGAAGGCTTAAACAAGCATTGCCTTATTATGAAAAAGTGATGGACGCTGTGGACTTTAAGGTATTACTATGTTACATGTACAAGAAAAGTTATTGAATCTATTGGGTTGATGTACATAGTATATCTGTGGTTGAATCATTTGTGAATTGTTGGTTTCTGGTGAGAATATGAACTTTCAACAAGGATGGTATGATGACTGAGGGACTTGATCCTATATAAATGTCTCTATATTTTGGCCGGGTGAAACATTATGTAAACCTGGAGGCATTTTTTTAGGAACCTAGATGGTGATGAGATGTGTTTGAGCCAGCTGTGGTGTTTTTTTTTCCTGAACTGTAACAGACTATAAAGGTCCTGAATGCAGTGCTGATAGACTGGGGTTTCCTCTGGAACTCTAGAAAATGAACTTTTCAATGGAACCCTTTTGTTGATGAGAAGTTTAGTACTTAATCGTTGAATCTTTAATTAGACATACTTTCATGCTGTTAGAATATTTCTTAATAAACATAGTAGGGATAAAAACTGCACTCCCACGTGATAATTTATGAACTCTGTCTTCGGCAACTTCCTAAACTCAGGAAGCCCTATTCTCTATCACCCACCAACTCCTTTAGGAAGATCTGTTGAGCCACCTTTGGTTCTGTGATTCTCCTTTCAACTACTTTCCATTGTAGCACGGGAACAATATCATAGCAAATGAACTTAGCTTTACAGTACAGCAATCAACTAATTGCTTTGGATATGGAGCTCCTAATTTTGTAATGTAGCTAAACAGTGAAACATGACCTGTTTGCTATGCTAAGACTCTGAAAGATCAAAAGAATTCAACATTTATTACGCATCTATAGTGCAGCGATGTATAAACAGTATGCAATATAATGGTTGTCCTATTAGATGCTTCAGCTAATATGACGAATTTCAGCTCTTTTCTTTCTCATGTTATATGTGCCTTCGAGTTTGCATATGTTCATGCTTTGCCATTTTTAAATTGCTGTGCCCTTCTCAGTTCCCTACTATATATTTGTTTACTCATTAAGTTAAGTGCAGACTGAACTTCATGGAAAGGCTGCTCTGCAATGGTCCATCTGTCTCGATTCACTCTGCAGGTAGTACCCGTAATTTTCTGCATCACTATATTCGTCGAGTTTTATCTTTTTCCTCCTCAGATGCAAAAATGTCCATATGGTTATTTCTAAGCAATGGATCGGTATGCAGTTTATGATATTCATACAGTATATTCTTTTAGCTAAATTGCAGTTTCATCGGGAGTAACATCAGCACTGTTAGTCTGTTAAACTGGTCTGTTCCTAGTTTGGAATATTAACTTGGTGGGTTTGGCAATCTGAGATTTCCTCCATGTTGCATATATGTATATCGTGAATACCTTTCATTTGCAGGTCCAAGGAAGCAATGAGCATGTACAGCAAACTTAAAAACCACCCGAATGTTGAGATCAGAAAGAAAGCAAACATGTTTGTGTTCAGCTTTCAGGTGAGTGTCGGGACCTAAAGTTTATCTTTGGAATATATATTCTCATCCTTCCTTGGTAACTTGACTGACGTCTTTCTCTTTTCTCCTGACCATCTGAAGGCAATGGATTTCATGAAGGTGAGCAGCATTCCAGTGCCCAAAAGCACAGGCTACGAGACGTACTTCACCAAATTTGGCAGCCAGAAGAATTACTACGCGAGCTTAGACGAGCCAGAGGTGGGGATCGGCCAGATCATCCCGTACATGATCTTTCTTGTCTCGCCGATATTTATAGTTGCTTTTGTTGCACTGAGAAAATCCTTTCAGTTATGAACAGAAATCTCGGACGAGTCGCTGAGGTTTGAATACCATTACCAGATAGGAGCATATAGCTTGGTAAATAGAAGTTTATTTTGGTAAAGCTTTTTTTTTGTTTTTATTCAAAGAAGAGAAAAACCTTTTTGTATAGCTGATGAGTATGCGTGCGTTCATTCACCTTTGGTCGTTCTTAGAACAAAAAATCTATAGCTACCTTTTGGAACTGGCAGAAGCCCAAAAGCCTGCTTGGCGGCCCAAATTACGGGCATTCCGGTCCGGTTTCTGAGGTTGCTTTCCCTGGAGTTGGTGCTTTGCAAGTTTGAGTACCATGTACAGCACGGGAACAATTTTCTCATCAACTTGACATTCGACCTTAACCTTTTGTGAGATGTGCTCCTTGTTCGCTTATTCCTTACATCTCCCTCTTGAACTTTCGGCGGTTTGGTGGTCTACTACCCCTCTACACACGGCGGGGCCAAAGACGTGTATGCAAAAGTTGACGGCAAGGGCTCAGCATTTGCCCAAGTCTGAGCATCTGAACCCAGAAACTTACCGGGTCATACTGGTCCACATTTCACCGCGGCATTTGGATGACTTGCCTGGCTTATGCACCGTACTTTTCCTACAAAAGAATATTATTTTTCTCTCACAACAAATCATCGAACAGTATTTTTCAATCTGGTTTTGCATCAAAGCAAATAGGGCTCTCTCTCTCACACACACCGGACTCTCTCTCCCACGTCTCTCACGAGCACTGCCCCCAGCTTTGCTTTGCCATCGTACGCCTCACGCAACCCTTTTTTCTTTCTCCGTGGGCTGTTGCCGAAGATAATCGCAGCCGCGCTCTCACGTTTTTGCTCCGGGACCGCGACCCTTTTCAGGTATGGAGCTGGTCCATAAAGCGTATACCGATACCGCCGCCCGCCGATGATTCGCCCCGCCGTCTTGGGTGGCAGTGGCCCTTTTTTTTCCCTCGGCGTCGGCCTTCCAGAAACACGCGGCAGTGGCGGACCACAGGCGGGCGGGGTCATTCCCCCACCGACCAAACGCGAAAATGCGCACGCATTCTTCATCGGGGAATTTTTGTCTGCCGTAAAAAAAATCACAATATCTTGGTTTGGAAAAGTTCAGTGGTCTTCAGTGTCACTACTCTAACTTTTTTGTGTCTTCCATACCACTGTCGTCAGTTTGGGCTCTAACGCCGTCAAACTGCAGGTGTGAAAAGTCAAAAATACCCTTATGTTTAAATATGTCATTAAATTTTTTAGCATCTTAACGACTTCAAATGGAAAAACTCAAAACTAGAAAGTTATAGATCTCGTCGAGATCTATAATTTTTATATAAATTTATTTTCATTTAATTTCACAAAAAAAGATATGATTTTTGTGGAATTAAATCATATTTTTTGTGGAATTAAATGAAGATAATTTTTATATGAAAATTATAGATCTCGACGAGATCTACAACTTTCTAGTTTTAAGTTTTTTCATTTAAAGTTAAAGTCGTTAAGATGCTAAAAAAATTAATAACATATTTAAATATAAGGGATATTTTCGACTTTTCATTTCTGTAGTCTGAGGACGTTAGGCCTAAACTAACCGTAGTGGCACGAAGGGCATTACAAAAAAAAATTTAATGGTATTCCCCCTTCTTCGTCGCCGGCGCCGCAGGCAGGTGCCAACTTTCTCCGCAGACCCATCCCCGTCCGCCCGTCCTTGATGGTTGCCTCTCTGCCCATGGCTGGACGGACAACTGGCAGAATCGATAGCGATGGGGATGGAATGGAGCGGCCGCGCGCTGGTCGTTTTTGGGCCGGACCACACGTCCCTTTCGGCCCCCAGGCAGCTCTCTCGCTTTCCAGCCGACCACAGGCTGTGCTGGCCCGCGCGGCCGCCCCGGCCCTCCAAGAACCGCTCGTTTTCTCCTCTCCCCAGTGCAATTGCCATCGCTCGCCCCACGCCACGGGCCGTGCTGACTCAGCGGCGGCAGGCAGCCAAATCAAGGCGAGTTGCCGTTGCCGTGTCCCAGCATCATCGCCTTTCCACCGTCCCCTTCTCGGCTTCTCCGCCTCTCTTTCTTTCTGTAGCCTTTCTACCTTCCGCTGCATGCCCGTCCTCCTGCCGATACTTCACTTGTAAGAATGCCCGTACGTATGGTCGCATTTGCGTAGAGTTGAGTATATTCGCACAGCGGCACAGGCCTGGTTCGGTCAAAGCTGTTGCGAGCCTTCGACTCCAAAGGCAAAGAGCACGACCATGTGCTATGCGTGTACCACGGGGGGCGCTCTTGTTGAGGGCAGGGCAGCAGCCGGTGGTGGCCTCAAAAGTCAGTGGGATTTGTAAGGACGACGGTGGGCAAAGGCGACTGGTACGTGCGTGGGCGTCCGTCGTCCGTCGCCCGTCTCTTGGCTTCAAGGCACGCCGCGTGAGCTGAAACCATGCATCGTCGCCCTTACTCTGTCCTTACGTCTCCGGTCCGTGGCCGTGCGTGCCTGCTCCTCATCAGCCCTTGTTTGTAGCTCTACTAGGGCCCGTACAAATAGTAGTACTAGTACTAGTTAACAGAAAGGAAGTGTTAGGTGTTTAATGTGCATGTGCCATACCGTCAAGCGTTTCATCTAGATGTGTTTTCAGTTCAAAAGTTACTTAGTGTGTCGCGTCATCCAGCATTCATGCATATTAAAAGCAATGTAACGGTGGAAGTAACAATCGGCGGTTAAGCTCAGTAGCGGAGCCAAAAGCTTTTAAGAGCCGAGTGATTTTTATTATGCAAAAATATTTAACTAGAAAATACAGTATTCACCATCGTATTCTTTGTCTTGTGTAGAATCAATCTTTTTTTCTTTGTAATTCTTCACATCTGTGATCTCTCATATTTAAAAATCATGCATGATTCAATTTTCTAATCTGCAGGGGTCCTCATGCCTCATTTGATCAGGACTGCAGAGATTAGCGACACCGTACCGGGGATTATTCGCCTAGGCCGTCCAAAAAAACACATATCACAGTTAATATTTTTTTAATTGTTTGTTTAATGGCACGTGAGATCACCATTAATAATTTTTTTCTTCCATGTGTCCGGATTCTTCATTTATTTCTTTAAAGAGATCACATCTTCTTTTTTTTTCCGAATTACAAAGAGATCACAACATCTATGAATTATGATTGTATCATCACAATAGTTTTGTTACATTGCGCCGTATTTGTCTTGCTTCTTTTATGCATATTTTGAACTATTAGTATGGTGTTTGAATATATTATAATTTGGGCAAATTTTCATCTTATTCTTTGAATTTAAGACTTTCAATTCATTTTATCTAGCGTATGATAGCAAATTAGAGTGCAAATTTTACAATTAGTTATCGAATTGGTAAATGGATTTACTAAACTCTATATGAAAACTTTAGGACGGCAATATCATTGAGTCATACCATTTTAAATTTGATTAAATTTACACGGAAGATTATCAATATGTAAAATGTGAAATACTTATTTAGCGTTTATACTTCTTCTACTAGTATATATTTAGTCAACTTTAGATAGTTTGGCTAAGGCCTATCCCTAAACTAGAATGGCATCCTTTGTTTTAGAAACTAGCAGCATGTTCGTTTCGGCTTATTCGTTCGTATCTGGCTTATAATTCACGGCTTGAACAGTATTTTTCTCTCATACCAACCAGCCAGCAATACTTTCCGTCATGGCTTAAGCCAATTCAGCCGAAACGAACCGACCGTAGAATGGCATCCTTTGAAGGTAAAAAGTAGACAAATTGGTCAAACTAAAGTGATAGTAGTAAATGATATATTGTACAACCATGTCAGAAATATGTAGGTGCAGTGATTAGTCCAGATCAGCAGGCATCACCAGGCCTGGGCATCACACATTCACACTTGGCTTGGCCGTAGCAAAGGCAAACCAGTTTGCTGTTAACTGCAGACACTAGCCGTTAGAGTTGGACTCAGACATCACTTTTCTTTTTCTTTCGATGATCGGGACTCAGACAGCACTAGCGGACAGAGTGGCGGAAATCACTGTCACTCGGTCACCAGTGGGTAGGTCAGGACAACAACCGGCACAGAGGGCCCGGCCAGTTGCGCACGGAGTCGCCAATTCCCTGCAGGAAAAGGGCCCCAGGCGCACTCATCTCAACCCACCGTGGCGCTGCTGTAGTAGGAGCAGTATAGCCTGTCTGTCTGTCAGCCAGTGAGACCAGTGGCCTCCGCTGCCGGTGGCGCCAAAAATCCAGGGGTGCGTGCGGGTGGTCTGAACCAACTAGCCGTTGCGCGCCCAGGCCGCGTGTGCGCACTGATTTCCCTGGGGCCTCTGGACGCCCCCCGATTCCCCGTGCAGTGCACGCGCCAGCGCCAGGCACCAACGGAGCGAAGCGAACCACCGCGTGGTCGCCCGTGGTGACTCGGGTCTGCCGCCCGCGGGCGCGGTTCCCCGATTTGCACGCACATTAAAGCCCGAGAGCCCCCTTGTCCCCGGTCGTCGCGACGCCAACGGCTTCCGGCTTGGGTGCGAGCGCGGCGGGAGCACGACGGGATGACGCGGTGCGTCCCGCGGTTTTTGGCGCGCCGGCCGGGGGCGCGGTGCGGTGCCGCGGCCCGTCCGTGGCTCCGTGCGCGTTGGGCGTTAATGCGATCGCCTCTACCCGCCCGCGTTGCACGCTGCTAGAGTATAGGGGTGGTTGGCTGGTTGCTGCTGGGTGGGTTGCTAGCAGAAACGCCTCTGCCGAGGGAGTCCCTCGTTAGCCGAAGCTACCGTTCGATCCATCCGTGTGCTCGCGGTGATGCCCGGGATTCTGTGTTTGTACTGCATTCGTTGGTAACCAAACAAACATAGTAATCTCTACTCTACTCTACTCTGTCGTAGAAAAATTGCTCCATCGGTTTCAACAAGTGCTGTCCGAGTCCCGATCATCAAATCAAAAGAAAAGAAAAAAGGTGATGTGTATGAGTCCAACTCCCCCGACCAGTAATCTCCGTGGCAAATTAAAGCGCGTCCTAAAAAGGATCCTAGTAGTGCCAAGTAAAACATCCTACGTACCCTGCATTAGCTGGGGCCTGGGGCAACAAAATAAACTTCCGTTTGAACATTTTGGCCATTAGTAAAAAGCAAACGATTCTGCACTTGGTAGACCATTATGGTTCTTTCTAGGGGAGCACATCATTGATTTCGCTACTGACCATTACTAGTTGCAAAAAAAAGAGGGGGAGAGAGAGAGAGAGGAGGACGCCATCACTTAACCATGGCACGTTAAAGCTTGGAAGGTTTTCTTGAAACTTTTTGTCACGTCTTGTGTTTACAAGATGGAATTTGGTATTTCATACTTTTCATATATTAATATTAATTTGTTCCGCCATCTTAAAGAAACAAATCTTTTTTGCATCTCTTGAACGTCATCATAAGCAATCAAACTTGAGCATTTGTTCTCACGCAGTGCAAGCTAGCTAAGCTTTGTATGCCACGCAAGCAATCCGCAAGCAATCAAACTTTTTTTTTTGGCCAGGTCGAGTCCACACGCCACGACCACAAGATCGCTGGACAGAGCTGAGGTGAGGTTCGAGAAAAAAATATAAATTAATTACTTGTCAATTGCCATTTGTCATATACGGCTACCGTACCGGAGATGAGATCGGATCGCTACATGTGCGCTGTGTGTGCATCACACCACACGTCAGGCGACGTGGCGCAGCTCAATCATGCGTTCGAGATCCGTCGTCTTAAGAGACTTTTTTGCCTGTCATTGTATCATGCATGCTCTGATGATTGGCTCGTTTCGGACCATCGGATTAGGAAAATCATCATCAAACATGGAGTACCGACCACCTGCTGATAAGCTTTTCAATTTTGGGTCCGAAGTTGCACCGTGCTACACGGCTCAAAGACTAGCCACAAATGCGACAGTGCAGTTCATTGGAGCTTATTACCTAAAAAAAAAAAGGAAGACAAACAAAGGCAAAACAGGGAACTTAAGAAAAATACAGGTGTTTAGTAGTAGTCTACTATGTACAAATGACTGAGTTGTGTTGCTTTGATTTTCAGTCGTTTTTTCACCTGCAGCGGTACAGCCTTGTTCATTAGCCGTTGTAGTTTTGCCTTTCTACCACAAAGTTTGCTTTCACCGAGAGGAAGCCAACTTTTTCTTCGGTGCTCCCTGCATCAAACTCCCGTGGGCCGCGCTGGCCAAGCACTTATAATTAATTAAAGACCAATAATCCTCACGAAAGCATATTGCAAGTCTGCATAAGTACTGTGGATATCAACGTCAGCATCTTATCTCGACGTCCCGTTTTAGCTTTTTCTCGATCCTGTGAGACGAAACTTCATGAACAACCATAATTCATGAACACGTACATTTCCTTACATAAATAGAGAGTAGTAAATACACAGACATTTATAATTTTTTAAGGTGTTATAAAATTTCTCAAAACACTGAACTATTTAATTGCCTTTATTTGTACTGTATAAAAAATAAATAAACCATTTATTAAACTCTTAGATTCAACGAGAGCTCATGACCGTGTCTCTCTCAGCCGATCAGCATCAGGACTCGGTTTTGCAGGACCCTGAGGGTTGCTGTTGTTGCTTTTTACAGTTATGTTCTTTTTTTCTTTATTTTATTTTATTTTGCTAAAACTGGCTGATCTCTTATCTCGGTCATTTCTTTTGTGATCTAAATAACCTCTTCCAGCTCAAATGAAAAGGAAGAACACACCTGCCATTGTTCCTCAACAATAGGAGGGAGAGAACCAGAAGATATAGGATCTTTTTTTTTTTGGCTAAATTAAGGATAATAATATCTGCCAGAATAAGTTTGATGTTAAGTTACCCACAGCAAAGTCAATAGTTTCTTCTGTTAGGGAGAACTTTGATGTTAGGAACCTTGAGTGCCAAATAAGTTTGATAACTATGACATAAAAAAACTAAGAGCTAGCTATGAAATGGCACTTAGCTGAGTTTATTCAATAGTTATGGAGCGCATAATGAGAATCTAATGGTTAGAGAGAGCCGTGTTACTTGCTGATCTTGATTACTCTTGAGTCGTCAACTAAAAATCAATATGTATAAGATTAAAGATATATACTCCCTCTATCCTGCATATTTTCATCAGAGAAAAATCAAATAAAATGGATTTTGATCATTAATTTTTCTTACTATATGTTGTAATTTGCTAAGAACTAATATGCACTTTGAATACAAATTTACTAATACAAGTTTCATTCCCTAAACTAAGAGTATATAATTTGAATAATTGTTTGTAAAAATTTGATTTTTTATTTCATTTTTCCTGTATAAAACATGATTAATTTTAGGATGGAGGGGCTGCTAAGTAAACCATTACCTCGAGCCACAAAATCCGTTCTCTTTTAACTTTCACCAGCAACTATGAATGCAGCCTTGAAAAGGCAGCCATCCCCTCGCCCCAGCAGGCCAGCACAGAAACGGTCCCAGAAGATGCACGCCCGTTGTCAAAATTCTCAGTGGACCTTCCTTCCTCCCTCTCGAAGTCTCAAAGATGACGACCGCTTTGAGCCGCCCACCCACTGTCTTCGGCTCCCCGCATCCATCTTCCATTCCATCGCCTCCTCTTCTCTTCTCAACGCATCGCCGTCCCCGTCCGGCCGCCCCTCACAAACCATCTTTCTTTTCTTTCTCCTTTTCCTTGTGCTCTCCTCCTAATCCCCTTCTCCCTTCCTTCCTTCTCCCGTCTCCCAACCTCCCTCAGTTCACAACACCTTTGCTTTGCTTTCGTGCCGCCCTTCAACTCAGGAAGCCAACAAGCACAAGCAAGCCTCCAGTTTCAACAAGACAAGACCGTTGATCCCAACAAGCCAAGGAGAAATCCGGCGGAGGATTAAGCTGCGGGAAGCCAAGAAATCCAGGAAGTCACCTCCCCCCGTTGCCGAAGAAGAAAGCAGCAGCCAGCCATGGTGCGGAGCAAAGAGCCGTCAAAGAAGAAGCAGCCCAAGGACCCGCTACTGACGCCTCCATCCAAGCCCAGGGGTGGTGGCTTCCTGGACGAGGGCCGCCCGTGGAACCGCGGCGGCGCGGCCATGTCCCCGGCGCCGGCGTCGGTGCCCAGCTACATGCGGGGCACCAGCAGCTCCGACGCCAAGGCCGGGCGCCGCGGGCGGCCTGCGGCGTCCGTGTCGGCGTCGGCGTCCCCGGCGAGGTGGAGGCCCGCGGCGTCGGTGTCAGCGTCCGCGTCGCCCGCGAGGCGGAGGCCGGCGGTACGGGTTCTGACCAAGGGGAAGGTTTTGTTCGCTGAGGAGGAGGCACCTGGCTCCGGCCTGGGCCGCGCCACGTGCTCCTCGACCATGAAGGACACCAAGTTCCCCGACGCGCTCGACCTCGCACCGGGCGCCACCGACGCCGAGGGCCCCGCGGCGCTGCGGGTGTGCCCCTACACCTACTGCTCCCTCAACGGGCACGTCCATGCGCCGGCGGTGCCGCTCCGGAGCTTCCTCGCGTCGCGCCGCCGGCTCATCAAGACGCAGCAGAGCATGAAGCTCAAGGGCGTCTCGGCCTTCCGCAAGAAATCAGGGGAGAAGACCAGCGGCGGGAGTGGCGGTGGAGGTGCAAAGATCGCGCCTTTGATCGATGAGGAGGCGGTCGGCGACTTCTTCGTCGAGGTGTATGGCGGCCCGAGGGTGAGCTCGGACATGAGCTGCAGTGACATGTCTCTGGACGAGATGGATGCCATGGTGCGGAGGATGGAGTTCGTCGTGTTCGATCGGTGCGGCGCGGACGAGGACGGTGAGAAGGGGAAGGATCTCGCTGTTTGCGATGATGGTGAACCTGAGCCTCGCCCAGTGTTGAAAGAGAAGCATGGTGCCTTCAGGGACAGCTTGTCGGACTGCAGTGGAGCGCACACCGGCAGCGATTTCGTCGAGGAGTTGCCATGGTTGAGGTACCACGGATACGAGTATGATGATAGCTTGGATGATGAGATCTTGGAAGAACAGAGAATTAGAGAGGAGGAGGTTGTTGAAGCAGAGTTTTCTGCGGAGCAAGAAGAGGAACAAGGAACATCTGGTAGATCCTCTGATGAGTACAAAGAGGGTGCTGCTGAAGGACAGGAAGAGAACGATGAGGAAAACACATCGAATTTGGTCCGTGACCAAGAGATCCTTGCAGATCAAGGTGTGGCTTGCAGAGTGGAGGCATGTGAGGAGCTGGATGGAAGAGATGATGACAACATCCTGGAGGCATCTGTTGAACAAGGGACGGCAGAAGAGAAGCTCTCTGACGACATCTACAAATCTGAGATACCTGATCAAGAAGTAACAGCAAGGGCAGGTGTTACTCTGGAAGGACAGAGAATTAGAGAGGAGGAGGTTGTTGGAGCAGAGTCTTCTGCAGAGCAAGAAGAGGAACAAGGAACATCTGGTAGATCCTCTGATGAATACAAAGAGGGTGCTGCTGATGAGGAAAACACATCGAAATTGGTCAGTGACCAAGAGATCCTCGCAGATGAAGGTGTTGCTTGCAGAGTGGAGGCATGTGAGGAGCTGGATGGAAGAGATGATGAGAACATCATGGAGGCATCTGTTGAACAAGGGACGGCAGAAGAGAAGCTCTCTAATGATACCTACAAATCTAAGATTCCTGATCAAGAAGTAACAGCAAGGGCAGGTTCTACTCTGGAAGATAGCTTCAGAGAGGATATTTCATCGGACCAAGAGGCAAACGATTATGATGAAGAAGATGAGTGCCATGTGGAATCTGATGGCGAATCAGAGGTCACTGGGGAGCAGGATCTGGAGGATCAACAGAGCATGCCAGATGATGGCTCTGAAATGGAAATTTCTGAGGACACTATCTCTGGTGATGGATGCAAAGAGGATTTTTCTGAGGAAGTAACCTCCGCAGCTGTGTTTGCAGGTGAAATTTCTTACTTCAGTTCAATTGATTGTCGAGATGCTGATATCAACATATTAGTAATCGATAACCTTAACCAAAATGATTGTAATGCAGATGATGTGTTTGAACAATATGACAAGACTGTGGATGATGTACTTGAACAAGATAGCAGCCCTACTAATGCTCAAATGGAATTGGGTAACCCAACAAGCAAAAAGGTAGACGCTTTTGAAGAAACTGCTATTGTGCAACAAATCAATCAAGACAGCAATGTGGATACTCAAAAGAAATCGGAGATTACGGCATTCATATTGGAAGAATCTGGTATTGCTCAGCAAAGCAACCCTGATGGTGGTAAAATGGAACCAGAGGTTACTGTGTGCAAGTTGAAAGATGCTTCTGAAGAATCTGGTGCCTGCCCTGAAAGCAACCTACATGATAATACAGAGTATGTTACAGATGATGCTGAAATGGGACAAGAAATTACCAGATGCAAGTTGGAAGATGCATCTAAAGAAACTTATCAAGAAACCTTAGAAGATGATAGCTCCACATGTGTTATTGTTGATGATAGAAACAATTTGGAGATCAATAACTGCAAATCAGAAGATGTTTCCAAAGAGTCTGTTACCATTCTGGAAGCTGATCATAGTGATAACTCTGCAAATTTCAGTAATGATGTTCAAGGAACTGCAGAAGATCATGATTCATGTCTCAATGATGATGCCCAAAATGATATCCAAATCACCGGGTGCAAATCGGAAGACACTTGCAAAGAATTTGATACCGTGAAAGATAATGATCAGAGTGATAGTTCTGCAAATGTTAGATCTGATGCTGAGGAAACTGTAGAAGATGGTGGTTCTGTGTGTATCAGTGATGATTCTCAAAATGGTTTGAAGATTTCCATGTGCAACTTGGAAGATGCTTCCAAAGAACCTTCTACTGTTCAAGAAGCTGATCGGAGTGATAGTTCTGCAAATGCAAGTGCTGATGCTCAAAATGGATCTGAGCTTACCACAAGTGAGTTGGCAGTCATTACCATCAGTAATGACAAGGAAAATGAATCCAAGCTTTTCACATGCAACTCAGAAGACGTTTTTGAAGAATCTATTATTGGTCAAGAAGCTGACCATGATGGTAGCTCTGTATATCTCAGTTATGGTGCTCAAAATGAATATGAGGTTACCACATGTCATTCAGAAGGTGCTCAAGTGGAATCAGATGTTATTCAAGAAGATGAGGATGAGGATGAGGATAAAACTGCAGGCACTGAAAAGAAATTGGAATCTGCAGCATGTGAATCAGGAGGTGCTTCTTTAAAACCTGCTATGCATCAAGAGGCTGCTGGAGATATTAATACCACAGATGCAAGTAAAGATATTCATGTTACTGAAGAAACTAATCAATCATTCAATGTGCAAATGCCAGCAGAATTTACTGATGCAAAAGAACCTTCTATTGATGACATATGTGGTGCATTCAACGGAATGAACCTCAAAGGGGATGTATATTTTGATCCTGCTGAGTCTGCCACATGTCCGAGGAGCAAATTGATCATCTCCAGGAGGAGGAGAACACCGGAAGAGGAGGAATACTTGCGAGGTTTCAATCCACGGGCACCGAATTTTCTTCCTCTGGAATTGGATCCAGATGCAGAGAAGGTTGACCTCAAGCATCAAATGATGGATGAACGGAAGAATGCTGAAGAATGGATGATTGATTATGCGCTTAGGAGGGCACTGACAAACTTAGCTCCTGCACGGAAGAAGAAAGTGGAGCTTCTTGTCCAGGCCTTCGAGACTGTCCTACCGCATGATGAGGATGATAAGAAAAACATCTCACCCTCAAGGCCTATCCAACCCTGCAACTGATAACATTAGAGGCAAGGATTTTTTTTTTCTTAGAAATGTTGTTCCTGGCATTAATTCTGTCATACAAACAAATTCGTTTTTACACTAACTCCTCCTTTTGTTTTGTGAATCTTTGCAGTTAGTGGTTACACTAATGTTGATCTTGACGCACAAGCTACTAACTCGGAGGTTACTGCAATATTAACGCTAGTAACCTGCTCCAAGTTTGAATGAGAGAGCTACTTACTAGTTTGCTAGAGGTAACTAGAGAATAGAGATCTCTAGCTGAGTTGTGACAGAGGAGCTCACTCCTGCTCCACAAGGAAGGATAACTACTCATTACTGATCAAGGTATTCCTATCCAGTTGCTGAGTTGCAAAGAGAATGCTCCCGGCTTGAATTATGTAATTTAAGTGTGTGTATACATGTCTCGTGTGCTAATGTTGTCTGATATTGTGCTGGTGGCTGTATGAGGCTTGGAAAATGTCAATGGTGATGAGGTCCATGTCTCCTTTGGCACAGATCAATAAAACTCATCTTGAGTGCACAATTGTTGTTACTGAGGTTGAATCTGTGTCTCAATAGCACCCCATATACACATGTTTGCATTGTAAATTGTAAAGCAGTAGCGAATCCTGAGTTTTGGTGAACACAGTCCAGTACCAGTTACTGAATCGTCTGAAGATCATCAGGTCGATGTACCAGAATGTGAACACATTAACCGATCTGACGGTTGCAGCTTAGCTGCCGCAGTTCTCGAACAGTCTATGCCGGTGCTCACTGCTCAGTGTCACCCGAATGAGATATGCCCAAGGACCAAGGAGTCTCCATCTACATTGACGCAAGAACAGATTGGCCCAAGTCACGGGTCCCATCAAGTCCTAAGGGACGAGATCGACACGCAGACGGCAGCCGACCATGGGTCCTCCGATGTGACGCCACCCCCAACAATCGGCATCCCCAGACATCGCTGTCTGGTGTAGCCTGATCTTCGTGTATCACATGAGTAGATATGCTTTCAATTCCATAAAAAAAGAAGATATGCTTTCAATTTCATAGAATTATTATTTAGTTGGTTGCTTTTCGAGGACTGTATGTGACATGTACAAGTCGTGTGAGTATCTTCCATCCGTATTCTGTTCTTCATCGGCCAAATTTTCGACAAAATTTTCAGTGCAATTCGTGGTGCTTGGCATGAGAGCATCTCGTGAGTTTCCAAACCCCACGCCTGGTTGTGCCGAAAGCTGAAATTCAACAGTTTCGTTTACTTGTGCTCGCCACAGTTCCAAGGAAATTTACTTCTTTATATATAAAATTTTCCATTTAAATTTCACGAGCAGGAACATTGACATCACTTTACCTTCCAGTTGCCGAACCATGCTTCTCAGACTGAAGAACGAACTGGCAAAGTCAATGGAAGGATCATCATGTTTACTTGCATTGAAGAACTAGCAAACATTGAAAGAGACAGAAATTCTCATGCTGCCCCAAGAAGGAACCTGGATCGTGACAATTTCATGGTGATCAGAGTTCTGGAGCCGAAATACTCGGCAGACATCAATGTATCATAGCAATCAGACAGGCAATCATCATTAAAGGAATACATGAAAAGAACTAATGAAGTTTCTGCTCACGTACAAGGACTGATTTACATAGGAGGTATATGGAAAACCCAAGATACAGTAACATGAGTACAGGACTTGCAGTCTCTCTAACAAGTTTGCAGTAACTGTCCATGCCACAGAAACTGAGTTTTCATACAACACTATTTGCACCCTCTTAGCGTACATGACTTCATTTCATACAGGCTTTTGAGACCGAGCTACAAAACTTCGGAGTTCCCTTCAAGATTACAGGATAGCTGGATAGGCAGTAACACTCAACGGTTTAACAACAGGGTAAACTATCTTTCAGACCTCTATATTGCCAACTGTTCTCCTTGCCTAGTCATCTCTAAGGATCCCATGTCAAAACTTCATGTCCTGGCACCCAGTACCCACGCAACACCGACCCGAGATCTTCCAACAAGTTGTGTAGCCTAACACAACCCACAGCTCTGTCTACCTCTGATGTCATCAGTTGCTCCTCGCATTAAAAAGAGTTCTCTTGTTGGCAATGAATGATGTTCTGAACAGCTGAAGTGCATTGTGCGCAGATATTTCTTGAAGAGAGTTGTGCAGCTCCTGTAGATTCCCTCTGTACTGACCATCAGGAGTTCAGGATCCAACTTTTCTCTTCAACTCTCAAGGCGGGCTAGCATACTGTTCATAAACAGGAATAATGAGGCAAATGCAAATGTCAGAACGATGAAGAGAATAGCCTTGCAGGCAATCTACACCTAGAAGAATTAGCGAGCTGTAGATTAGTACCAGTAGTACCTCATATCAGACATACTCGTAGCAATTAACCAAGTATTTTTGAATATTTTCATGATTGATTTTGTTTTTTTAGAACTTGCATTTTTATGATTTTACAATGGAGGTAAAAAAAACATTGATTTTTTTATTATTTATTTGAATTTATATGATATCCAGTGACGTTAGTATTTTTTTTAAGCTTTTAGGTTTATTTCGAACTTATTGATTATTCTGGCGAAACTAAAATTTTCATTTAGTTAATAATTCAAATTTATAAATAATTTAGAAAAGGGTAAGAGGTCTAATTCACTTGATCTTCTTGGGCTGAAATTGCTTGAATCCACTTAGGCCTCTTGGTTAAACTATCCAAATAATTTGACATCTGGATATTGTCCGAACAGATATCCGTATCCCACGGGCATCAGTCGTCACGTATCTGTATCTTGATTACCCATATCCATATTCGGTATCTGACGAAACACCCAGATATTTGAAATTAACTATCAGATTTGTCAAAGAAATATCTATCCTATTTTTATCCCTACAAGCTACCATTCAGTTCTAGACTACCTGCACCAAGTACCAAGTTAGATCAGCCTAAAATCAGTCGTTGAATGAACCATTGCCTGCACAAAACACCCGAAATTTGCTGCCATTACTGCCCTATGGGCTACCAAAAGCAGAAACACATATGAGTGAATTACTTGAATTCATCTTTTGGCTCTGTGCAAGAAATCATATGACTGAATGCTAGCAATAGGAACTTACAAAAGTGAATTATCGATCCGGTGATCAGTGGAGTATTGATCAGTTAGCTAGACGTATCTAGCATATGTATCACAGTTACATCCTAAAATTTAATCTCAACCAACATATAGAAATAAAAGAAAATGGGGCAAGCAGGACTCACAGCAGCGGCTTTGGTTCTAGCACTTCTGCACTTGGCTGGAGCATCCGAGGGCAGAGTCAGGAATGCGCAGTTGTGCACTCAATGGTCCTCTTCTCCTGGAATTATACCACCGCCTTCTAACATGGTCTGCAGAGTATATGGGGGCATTTCAAGTATACGGGAAACCAAAAAAACACTGATACATAGATCTGGGCGCAACATTGCCTAAGTCAACTACACAGGTACAGTTTGAAACTCAACAATTACAGGTTACATGATCCTAAGGGCCAACCTAAACTTAGCAGTAATATGCAAAAGAACTGAAGAGACTGGCACCTTCTTCTGATCATGTGATCAGCATTGGTGAGCCAGAGCCAGAAGGCCAGGATTCAAGTTCAAGTTTTTCATTATGGCTGCGCACTGCCGAAACCTAATTTCAATAGCCTTGCAAAAATAGCTCACATAGTTTTTTTTTCTACAGAAAAAAAAATAGACAACACATTCAGATAGCAGATCTGCAACAGGAAGTACGCAGCTGAATGGCAATTCGGCAATTTATGTGTATATATCAACAAAAAAAAGTGATAATAGAAACTTTGAGATACCTGCAATATATTTCTATAATTTTTTGAAGTAAAATAAGGAATAAGGGATGCCATTTATAATTGCTATTGGAATATCTAAGCAGTTAACAGACTCCTACAAGTAAAATAATGCATTAAGAATTAAGGGACGAAAGCATCTTGACATAGAGTGCAATAAACATGGCACTGGGCCAAAGAGATCATACCAGAGGTCTGAAACCATGCATGTATATGTGCAAAGCAAGTAGCGTGCAAAAATTGACAGAAACTTGGCAACGATTTGTCACAAACTTAGAGAATTACATATATGTCAAAGCTGACCTCATAGTCATAGCATCATATATGTACACTTCTCGCCGTTCTGAACAAGGATGGAGGAAATCATATCAGATAATACGAAGAACGAGATTAGCTTGAGAAATATGAAATGCAATAGCAATGTGTGCCAAAATCTATACTATGCAACATCAAATACGGAAGAAGAAACAATCTATTATCTAATTCATCAAAGAGAAGCAGTGTGGCGGGTGTCGAAACCATAGAACGGAAGAGCAGCAAGCTGCCGCCGTGACGTGGCCAAGCGCCCTCTCGCTGTCAAACGGAGTGCCGAGCCTTCGGTCTCCGCTGTCCAGCGGGATGGGGATGGGGGTGTGCCGTGCCGGCCAGCAGCTCGCGGTGGCAGCGCAGCAGCAGCTTGCGCCCACGGCGGCCATCGCCGCGGCGGCGGCGGCGGCGGCGGCGGCGACGCAGACCTCAGGCACGGCGGGCTTGGCGTGCCGACGGGCTGTCTCGGCCTTAGCCTTATAGGGCCGTAGGAACAGCCCGCGGACGGGCATGGCCCGGCCCGATGAGTCTGCCATGCCGAGTCGGGGCTCGCACCGCCTCGACATGGAAAAAAATTGCAAATACTTGCACACGGTCGTCCGTCTTGTCTGTATGCATGTCTTTCTGTACCTGCGCAGCGGATAGGCCTAACAGCATCGTCTCTTCTATCTCACGGCATCACCGTGCATACGTCTGTCCCACTCCTCCCTTGCCACGTCCCATTTCCCCACCGCGTCGTGTCCTTCCCCACCGCACTGCACCCCATTGCCTGCCACGCCGTGCCCCATCTCCCACGAGGCGAGCAGCAGTGGCGCTGGAGAAGCCGCGTCGAGCGAGCAGGCGCAGGAGAATCGCCGGAGGAGCGAT